TGAGAAGCACAAGAAATAAGGTACAATTGTTTTCTTTGTCTTAGATACATGCAGTATCTTCCAGAGATTCTGAACTACATTTCCCACATTCTCTTGTAATTGACCATGGCTGGAGCTAGCAAAAACTGGAATCCAAAATTTCTGGATGATACTCAATTATCTACCTTTGGCCATGCTGCAAGCCCAATACTTCACAGAATTCCTTTGATTCAAATTCTAGTCCATTCTGTATCTTTTTGTTTCAGTCACCGATGCTATTTTTTCTATCTTCTTCTATGCATAGAGATTAACTCCTCCGTTTTGTATGAAATTTTCATCCTACTTCAGAATAAGTCACAATGCAGATAATAAAGGGGGTTAGGTGTAGCATGTAGCCACAACTACAACTGCAGGTCTATATTTGGTCCACTTCAGTGGTGGGATTCAGCCAGTTCGCACCACTTCGGGAGAACCGGTTGTTAACTTTCTGAGCAGTTTGGTGAACTGGTTGCTGGAAGAAATCATTACGACAGAGAACCGGTAGTTAAATTATTTGAATCCCACCACTGGTCCACTTGCAGGTGCTACTCTTCCTAGCTCTGAGTCATGCTTTTCTTTCATCTTCCCATTTTGAAAAGGTGCTGTGGAACCTTCTGCATCCTCCAGGAAAGTCCCTTAAACCCTAAAAGTATAGTAGGTATTCTGTTGGGACAATCTATTTAAGAATGCCAGCATCTTATCCGGTCTTCAAATGCAGCACTAAATGTAGTCTCCACTCAGCCTCCTGAGTTTCCTTCTCTATTAAATACCAGAAAGTTATAGGTGAATGCATAATCTGTTGTGGCTATACACACAAGGGTTACTGAGTAATGCATAATAATTAGTATTTCAATTTTAAATATATCAGGCTAAAACCTGGCAGTATTATTTGTTTTGCATAGCAGACCAGGAAAAATAAGTACTGCCAAGGCCATTTTAAAAAGCACTTATTTTTCACTATCAATTTTCAAGATTATCCTTCTGCGGTACCTGTGTTATGCAAATCTGCAACCATGCAGATGTATTCTCGAGAAAATAGAGCAACATTTTAAAATCATAATTATTGCGCACTGGTCTGAGGAATGTTTTTATTCACATACACGGAATAACTGAGCTGTAATTAAATATAGTAGCTACAGGCTAACATGACAGCAATATGTATTGCTAAGGATATTAAAAAGTTACCCAGGTATAATAGGATTGGCAAGTCTCTTGCCATATAGATGTTTCTGACCTACATTATCTAGCATTCCCAAACAATCTAATTAGTTATTCTTGAGTGAGATCCACTAGAGAAGGGGTGTCAAACTGGATTTCCTCGAGGGCCAGATCAGCTTTATAGGTGGGGGAGAGCGGTGGGGGGGAGAGATGGGATGGACGCCTCTTGCACTTTACTGGCCAAAATGGGGCATGGGGGACTTTCCGTGTGGCCCATTTTCATCCTCCCCGGCCTGCAACAGCACTCTGCTGATCAAAAATGGGCCACATAGTAGTACAGCAGGCCAGTCCTTTGATATTTCCAGGCCGGCCCCATGGGCTGGATTTCAGTTCCCACGGGCCTTGAGTTTGACACCCCTGAACTAGAGTGTTGTTTAATATTTATAAACAGGAGAGCTGGATTCTCTTTCCACTTTGCTTCAAGTCACTCTGTCAGAAAACCCAGCAGTGAAAGTGAAACAAAAGCTTATGAATATAGGTATTTTCTTCTCATGTAAATCAGACACAAACTAATAATGCTTCAAAGACTGTTAGGAATTCGCTCTCAGACTCCAATAAGACTCCATAGGAATCCCACAAAAATTACCCGTGGCTGTTGTTAAATTAAGAAAGTTTCAGTTTTGAATGTTTACCATCTTCACATTGGTATTGCAGAAGGAACAATAAGGGAAAAAAGAGAGAGAAAATGCATGGATAATAGAACAGTTTGCATGCAAGAGTACATTTGGAGTTAGGTGCAAGAGCAGAAAATGATCAGCAAGAAGATGGCGGGGGGGNCTGCTTCTGAATCACCCCACAACAAAACAGAATGGCTTTGTGAGTTACTTCCATTCTCATGACAGAACAGAGATGAACTGGGCTACTGTTTTTAATTGGAAGAAAACCCACTTGGTAGGATCTTCCCCTTTATATGTGTGATGTTCTGATACAGAACCATCATTGATTAGGAAGCATGTTCCTATGAAAAGGACACAGCAGGGAAGTGATTGCTTTGTCTAAAATGGCACGGCTGTCAAAACTTAAATGTACTAATTAATTACAACAGGAGACATGCTAAGAATCTCTCAACCTTTTTCTCTTTCTCTCGCTCTGTCTCTTTCTTATACACAAACACACAGATGGATTCTCAACCACTTGTCCCCACAACCTACTGTGAAGATTTTAAGTAAACAGGTCTGAGGTTGTCACATCCTGTCATCACTTTTGAGTAGCCCAGGACGACAAATAACCCCTTCTCCTTTTGCAGGATGACCAAACAGATTAACTATGGAGAGCTATTGGGGGTAGGAGGTGGGATTCCAGCAAAGAAAGAGGCACCCCTCTTCCATCAATAGCAGGATCGTTTTTTCTGGTCACCTGCTCCCCTCCCTCTTGCTATCTTCTGGGCTCAGTGGAGCAGAAGAGCGGTCTCTCCAGCAGGATTAGTTGGATTCCTAGCTGGAATGAAACCTGTGGAAGAGGAGTGCCTCATGGCTGCTCTGACTTTTCTGCTCTGCCAATGAATCGAGCAAAAGCAGGAGCAGAAAGAGATGTTCCTGCACCACATGTCCTTTCTGTTGTGTTTTGGAGTGGTGCCATGGCAACTCATTTGAGTTTTAAGCAGGAATAATGTGACTTGGGACAACTCTTGTGCTGGCCCCATGCCCAGCTGCCTTCACTCTAATCTCCTCCTTGCTGGGATTTTGTTTCTAGGTCTGTTTCCTTGATGTAGAATAAAAGTTGTAACTCAATGGTAGAACACCCCTTGTATCATAGGCAAAAAGTCCTAGATTTAGTCCCACTGGGGACGATTGTAAAGGTCCCGTTTCAAGCTACCGATCTATTGTTGATATTTGTACTCCACTAAATGGACCATATTCCTTCTTTGCTTTATTCACAGTAAGACCACTGGCATTATACAATGCACTAAATCCTAAATACATGTTAGCAAAATACAATAACTCTGGTTGCATAACATGACATCCCCAATCAAATAAACCACATTATGACATAACAGGATGGCTTGCTTCCTACAGGATGCTAAGATATGGCTGACTTTCCATAATATCATAAAGTACAAACTACCGAGCCCTTTTAATCTAGGCCATATGTATTATGAGAAACCAATAACTGCATTGTTGATGCTTCATACATTCCTCTGGAGTCACTCTTGCTTGATCTTGCTGTTGCTCAAGAGGCAAATAATTAACTATGCCTAAGAAGTTATCATGACCATCACAGTTGCCTACACTTGGCCAAAGGGCCATCAGAGTTCCCTGCGGCATGCCATGCTGTACTGTTCAAACAGAGAAAATGTCCCAGCACTTCAATGGAAGCTATGAAAGAGCATTGGGGAAAAGTTGGTCTCTCTTTTTCAGCAGGAAAAGGAATTAGGGAAGTCAACTGTTGGGAACATGAACCATATGTATTCTGTACCAATCACATCAGCTCTATGGATTGTAGAAGTTCGGGTCCCAACATTACAAGAACCTGGACATATCCACAATCTTGATCTTGAAGCTTTTAGGTCCTACATCTCTCTTACTCATGCCCGTATTACTACATTATTTAAATTACTCTGAAAAAATTTACATGATATTGCCCTTAAAGGTGACAAAAAAGGCTCCAGCTGATAACCACAGAGAAGCAAGGATGTTAGTGTGTAAGAGTTAAGTGATAAACATCTATAAAATAAATAAAATAGTAATAATTCTCTGCACTGGTTATCAATAAGGTGAATTTTCAAGTCCAAGATGCTGCTTTTGATTTATACACCTCCCTGAGGCTTGGTCATGGGATGCCTCAGAGACAGCCTGTTCCTGTAGATTCAGCCTAGCTCATGTGGGCTCAGACATGATTTTTTTTCTGAAAAGATTCCCATTATATGATACACAATGCTCATCCGATATCCTTTCCAATCTTTCATAAGGAGATAAAATGTTTTTAAAGGGCATTTCAGGGCTGAATAAAGTGTGAGATCTTATTGGATGGCCAAATTTACTATATGTGTTGATGAACTATATGTTATGCATTTATTTGGAGGGACCTGATCTGAAGAAACTCCATGTCACTCAGCTTCTTTTTGTAGACTTGACTTCATGTTGCTCCTTTTTTGGACAACCTCTATGAGTTACAACCAGGGTGTTGAGCCCCTTCTTGCTGAGCCTGACACTTATCAAGGCATAAATCTGAAGGTGTCCTGGTTCATCTCCACTCCTGACAAAACGGTGGGAACCTTTTTCTTATCTCCTGAAAGGTCAGGATGGGTCAAAGCAAAAGAAGAATCTCTAAGTGCACCAACCAGCCCCTCTAAGTGACCCTTCCAGCCCTTATGGGGCCTCACAGGGCTAGGGCAGAATGCCACCGGTTGACAGACTGGGAAGAGAAAAAACATTTTACAGGTAAGATGCTCAACGGCATCTACAACAATGAAAGGTTTTTGGGTGAATCAGGACCCTCCAAGCTCAAGTTAACTTAACTTAGAGCCCATTAATACAATGAAAGTATTTGTGGCTCTCTGTTCATTCACTCCGGAAGCATCTGATTCACGTAACATCTTCTAGTGCTTCTTAACCCTTTTACTTTATGCCTTGGATGCTTGTTAGGTTGTATGTCTTTATTTATGGTCAAAGATCAGGGAGATATGAGAAAATAGAAATTCCAAAAAGATGATGATGATACAAAGAAGGACAAACAGTAAAAGATAAAAATTAAGCAACAATAAAAGAAGAACCAACGGCATATATAGTTTAATTAATATATCCCCTTCCATAATAGTCACTTACATTGATATCTTTGCCTGCCCAGTTGCATTCCTCCCTCCATTCCACAGGCGCTGGCCAATAAATCTGTAAGAGCAAAGATGGAGGAAATTAATGGCAAAACCAACCAATTCCACACGGGAGGGGGGGTGATCTTCCAGTCCAGTCATTCATCACAGCATTGTCAAATGCTACTAAAGCCCTGGTACTAAAAGCCATTCATTGGAATGCTGGTGTTTTCCCTTAGTCCGGATTCACAATTTCCCCGGTTTTTATGTCCTAGTGCCATCAGGAAGGGAGGCAGAATGCTGTAAAAGTAAGGGTGGACTGATGGACTGCAAGGCCGAGATCATCATGAATGCTTTGCATAGTGCAGCTCACCCGAATTAATTTTATTGAGTTTTACATTTGAAAGCCACTGTGTTTTAGTTGGGCATTTGTTTAACAAGCAAGCAAGCGAGCACACAAGCAAGAAATCCACTGGCTATCCTTCAGACATTAACTCTTTGTGAAAATAAAAACGTGCTTGGCAATATAGGTATAAAGCCACTGCAAAAAGAATCTGACAAAAACCAATCAGAGCCTCAGTTCTTGTTTTTAAAAAATTAAACAGAAACTGAGCAGTGAATGAACTAATCTCTCAAAGCAGAAAATTTCCCCAAACTGAAGTGCTGCCACAGAAACCTGGTGCTTCAGGAGAAAGGGGTCAAAGGTGGTTTGGCTGTATTGTGTCCTCAAAGCTTTTCTCCTGCTGGGCCGGAATGCAGTTTCCATCGATAGTCCAGGATAGTGAGTATCAGCACACTCCCCACAACCCCCTTTCATTAAGCAGGGAACCTTCCCAGAGATATTTTGTGAGGCTCATTCTCATGATGAGGAGAATGCCTCCTTCCTTCTCTTCTCCTCAGAGAAGAGAAGCTGTGATAAATTCCAGACCAGGGCAGGCCATTGGAGAACAAACATTTTAAAACATCTGAATAATATTGTTCTTTATTCTTAGTAAAACAGTTGTATCCCACCAAATTCTCAAACCCAAGCAGTTTACAGCATGGGTAGATTTCATTTATTACATTTATTTGCTGCCCACCTCACAGATAGTGGGACCGAGATAAACTGGGCCAAATATCCTCCTGCTAACTTTTGTGGGATAGTCATTCCCTCCTCCACAACAAAAGGGAAGGGAAGGAATATCTGGGTAGGGTAACCACTACGTTGTGTCTTTCCAAGGCCACACAGCCATTGGTTGTGCTGATAGGGATGGCAGAGCTTATAATCTAACATCCCTGGAGAGTCAGGTTGAGGTACAGGTCTGGTGCAGTACATAGATGTCTTACCTTCCTGTCATGCTTGCTAATGTTGTCCAGGCTTAAGGATGCCATGTAGTTTTTCCCTCCCACAAAAAGCCTCCCCCTCTCTTCATCCAGGAGCAGCGCATCGTAGCAACAAGAACGTTCCAACTCATAGGTGCGCAGCCCATGTCGCATCTTCAGGTCTGGAAAAAAAAAGGAAGACGGCTTGTAACACAACTACAAAAATATACAATTCTATTTATGTTCTGCAGGCTAGAACGAAGAGAATCATCCAACCAAGTGTAGTGCAAGATAAATAAATGAAAAGAACAAAATATTGATGGTTTAATGCTTTTTCTTTGTGGCTATTGTATGGCTATTGTATGCACCTTGTATGCAGGGAACACCGAGTCATACTTGCTGCCGACTGTTGTGGGTGAGTAGCTCCAAGAGTCCTTCTGGTGAATAATTTTTAAAAATAAATGTTTCAGGTCATCATGTTCATGACCTATGAAAAATGTAGGAGTGCCATTCTGCTGCTTGTCCATTGGATCCATGTGGAATAATAAGAAATTCTTTCTTCAAAGATAAAAACAGACCTAAGAAAATTACTGGATGGCTATACTGTGATGTGTCCTTATCAGAATGAAACTATGAAGACAAATACAGGGACTGAAAGAACTAAGTGATTTCTTTTCCCAGACAAAGCTGTAAGGATGAANTGTTAATTTTAATCGAATTTTTAAAAAAATGTTATTGTTAATTCTAATTGGGTTTGTTTGGGATATTCTATTTAATTCTTTTTAACTTTTGTAATATGTTTTTTTTAATGTTGTATGCCGCCCTGAGTCCTTGGGAGAATGGTGGCATATAAATCCAATAAATCCAAATCCAATCCTAAATTAATCATATTCATATTGCATATTTCTTAATCACCCATCTCCCTCCTATTCTGAAAGAAACTGAGGTACTGATTGAAAAGTTGGTTATAGCACATCAATATCGTTGCTACTTTGGCTTGCCATCTGGATGCAATCTATAGACAAGGTCTGCCTTGACTCTTTTCTTAGGTAATCCCAGTGTCTGTGGTTGGAAAATGCCCATCATCCGTCATATAATCAGTAAGGTGTAGGTGCCAAAAGCAAAACTACAGATTTTTCTTTCTGTGTGCCAAAGGAAATGCTGCCATCTAAGCTCCCAGCAAAGACAGTGAATTCAGCTCCTTTCTTCCTACATCTTTATTTACCTCAACCCTATTTTGCGTTGTTTCTGGATGAATCTTCACCCAGCCACTTCTTTTCATGCTGAGGCGGCCACCTTTGAGCCCATTTGTCTGCAGCAATTATTTCTTTGCCTCTCTAGCCATTAACGATGCCAGCTTCCTCTAGCAATTATAGAGATGCCGGGTAAGCCCAGCTGTAATGCAGGAGGATTTTCTTGTATCTCTTCAATGGCTGAAACTAATGACCCTTGCCAAGAGATCAGGTGAACACACAGTTGCCTTTTCTGGGAGCTTGTTAAGCCATGCAGAATGAAGAAATAAAAAGAGAACTAACACTCCCCTCACTAAGTGGCTTGATTAACTTTAGAAAAATGTGTACCTGTTAAAAAGGATGTGTGCACCTGCAAATTGATTGCAGGCCCTGTAGATTTTTGCAGATATGTTTTTGGATAACATGCAAGGTGTCCTTTGATCTTACAATGAACACCTGTAAATAAATGTCGTAATGTAGAAGGTATCTGTCAGAACTACATTTTGTTCCACGCTATTCGCCTTCATTTCTCATCTTATCTGTAGTCAACATTCCATGCACCCAAAGCATGCTAAATCCTTATTAATCTGCTTATATTTCCCCTTTCTTATATGCCCTCCCGAATATGTTTTTTTTTCTTTTAGCATTGTTGATTCTCTTTCTCCTTTTCATTTTGTCAATGTAAGAAGTCCAGGAATTCTGTGATTATTGATGCAATAGGAGAGCCACGTACCAAGCTCGAAACTTGGAGATGTGAGTTCTAGTTCTGGATTTAGCATGAAGCCAACTGGGTGACCTTGTGCCAGTCATTTTCTCTCAGCTATCGGAAGAATGCAATGGCAAACCATTTCCAAAAACCCTGCCAAGAAAACAGGGGCTTCTCCAGATAATTGCCGGGAGTCAACACTCACTCAAAAGAGTGCACGCCCACCCACGCCCATACATAAGGAGGAGTAGATGTTCAGACAGAATTTGACAACTCTCTTGTGCAAACTATCTTTTCCGGGCTCATGAATTCTTTGCGATCCTCATCAAAGTCAACCCATTTGCGTTGCAGCCCATGTGGGCCGTATGACGTGATCACGAGAGACAAGAGTCCTCCTCCAAATAAAGGTTTTATTCCAACTTATTAAAATGGTGGTGGTGGTGAAACTCTCCCTTTGTTAAGCAAGAGTGAGCTATGTGACCACATGGGATTTCAGAGCAATTGCACTCTCTCGTGGATTTAGAACACTTAACACTTTGGGCTTCAAAAGGCAGGAGCATTTGAACAGAAAGAAGATTCTTGAAGATGATAATTCATTGTGTTAGGTTCATGCCAAAAGTATACAAGCAGTGGCGGATTAAGACTCACTGGTGTCCTAAGCACTGACAAATCTTGGTGCCCCTCCTTTGTACGTCCTGTACAAATCTTCATTGGTTTTTTTCTTTCTTTCTCAACTTTGTGGTGCCCCCTTTGGGCCTGGTGCCCTAAGGACGTGCTTAGTCTGCTTAATGGTTAATACACCACTGTGTAAAAGACAACCCACAGTGTTCTTCTCAGTCATTGTGAGCAAAAGATCACAAGTAATTTTTTAAACTACCAGCTGGGAAGTTTTAATAAGACTGGATGGATTTGTCTTCCATCTAGCAAGGGATCATTATTTTATGAAAACGCAAAGGATGCTAGCAACCCAGAATGCAGCATGGGAAGAGATGAATACAAGATTAGTTACGCTTTTCCAAAGAAAAACTCTTAATTCTGCCTCTTTTGATAAACATACAACTTATTGAAGGAGTGGAAAAAGACATTTATCATGATTTCCTTGGCTCCAGGAACAGAAGACAAGGCGTGCTTGTTTAATAACTTTTGTCCAATAAACCATCACTGATAAATTCACATATCACGACTGGGTTCATATAACCCAAGATGCCAGAATCAAACAAACTGCATAGAACAAACGGCTTAGAACAAAGCATTAATCTAGTTGGTGAGTTGTAATTAGGATTCATGAAAGCTTCTTTCACATTAGATTAACTACTGTATTTCGGTGACGCTGCATCCCATTAGTGGGCAGTTAGAGGCTGCTTCAGCACCCATCCTATAAGGCCAACTCTTTCCTCACCATCCACACTGTTTGATTTCGCTAAGTTTCTAAAATAAAGGTAAAGGTTCCCCCACACATGTGTGCTAGTCGTTTCTGGCTCTAGGGGGCAGTATTCACCTCTGTTTCAAAGCCGAAGAGCCAGTGCTATCCAAAGATGTCTCTGTGGTCATGTGGGCGCACGGAATACTGTTACCTTCCCACCAAAGGTAGCTCCTATTTTAGAAACTTCCATTCTTTACGTGCTTGCAAACTGCTAGGTTGGCAGAAGCTAGGACAAGTAACATTAACATAGCTCGCCCCATTACGTAGCGCTAGGGATTCGAACTGCTAAACTGCCGACCTTCGGATTGACAAGCTCAGCATCTTAGCCACTGAGGCACCACCTCCCACTGCTAAGTTTCTATTCAGGAATTAATTGTATCCCATCTCATTATTCCAGTTTGGGTCTGAGCTGTTCACAATCTTTGAAAGACATAGATTGTTTCTTGCATTAGGTTGTGCTATGTGGTTTCTTTGAGTTTGCTGTAGAGCATTAATCTATCCATGAGGGTCAATAGCAATGTCTGATGCCAACCCTCCAAAATGTGATTTATTCAATAGTCCTTGATTAAGGATATGATCAAGAGACAGATGGGTGGACCCATCCGGCTAGGAACCTGAGTTTTAATCCTGCCTTGGGCACAAAGCCAGCTGGATGACCTTGGGCACAAAGCCAGCTGGATGACCTTGGGCTAGTCATTTTCTCTCAACCCTGGGAAATGGCAAATCACTTCTGAATAAGCTTGACAACTGCAGGACTAGTCCAGGCAGCCTCCGACAATAGGAAATGATTGAACAGAAAAATAATATGACTTATTGCAGCATGTAAACTGAGTGCACTGAACCAGCCCACTAATTGTTTCACTCTTTTTTGTCTTTCTCTAACACAGATGGCTTTGCTTCTTTGACCTGCTCTTCTATTACTCATCCGGAAATGTATACGCTAGGGCAGTGCCTGGAAGGGATAGTTGCACCCAGAGATAGGCAGCAGTATGGGGAGAATTTTACAGATAAATTTACAAGCCAATTTCGTAAATGGGTTTTTCCAGACCTTCTGAACCTCACAGCAATTAAACTCAAAGCACAGCGTACAGTGCCATGTGAATCCAGCTGTGCCTTAGCAGTACTGTAACTTTTCAGTGACTTCAGATTCCAGAGAAATTATTGGAGCATATTAGTCTCAAAGCCTCTGTCTAGCAGAGTTTATAAATCTCTTCCTTCTCACTTTGGGCTACATAAAAACAGTGACAAGAAAACAAGGTTTAAGTAAAAATATATTCTGCTATCAGATTAGGAAGAAACTGATCCCGGGAGGAAGATCTCTGCTCTTTCTTTCTTTCTTTCTTTCTTTCTTTCTTTCTTTCTTTCTTTCTTTCTTTCTTTCTTTCTTTCTTTCTTTCTTTCAGCAGAAAGCAAGACTGATGTGACTATTGTATCAGGATTATCCTCTGTCAGAGCCAGGATAATAGTGCTTTGCCTTTTCAATCTAAGGGTAACTCAGAAAAGCACTACAGATGGAAAGGGAGCAGGCAGCTTCCTCTACCAGCTACACTCCCCTCCAATGTATTATAGTACTCGAAATCACTACTTAAGCAGACTTAATTGCAGTCGCTTTTCCTTTGACAATTGGATGCGCTAATTTGTAGCTGAGAAGCAAACGAGACTATGAGAAAACCAGGGATACAATGCAAATGAATGAATTGCTGCTGGGTGCCAAAGTTAGTGACCAGCTTTTCAATGTAATTAGCAAACACCAATTTCTAACTTGTTATGGAATGTGAAACAGGAACTTCACGGCCATCCTTACTTAGGCACCAAGAACCG